GAGTACACTTTATTTGGCTCGTCAGGGAAAAGTCTTTCGGCATAAAAACCCTGGTTGAAATGTACAAGATGAATCCGTTCCAAAGCGTACACAAAACGCAGAAGAATTCTGGCCACGTGTAGGACTGCCTTTGTCCTTTGTCGCTGACGGAACTTAGATGATGTAACGTTGCGCAAGAGAATAGTTCTCTTCCGTGTAATCCCTCGCAGGTCTCGTGGTAGAATAGCATGAGGCACGAGAATACGCCAGGCTTTATATAGAAAAAAGCGATGGAACGTGCGGACCAATTGTCGAAAAGACAGATAACGTAGCTGTTGATGCATATGATTGGCGTAATAAATGTGGTGGGAGAGCGCGAGCTAGAGGAAAGAAGGAAGGAGCCCTTACAAAGATCTTGGAGCTCCCTTGGTTACCACTAAACTAAGATGCTTCTTTGTCGCGCGTGTTTCACGCTTCGGCAGGGCCGTACACGCCCCGGCACTCGCCCTACTCACTACTACAATATCTAAAAATTTAATCACAGATTCCAAATATCAACCTGATAAAAAACTTGTGGGATTTCTTGCTTAATCAGATTAGAAAACATCAAATATCTTTAAAAAGAGAAAAGTTTGAAAAATTCTTCTATGAGGGAGTCGAAGCAGATCCCGCTAAGCATAACATCAAATTAAATTAATGCAATGCCTGCAAGAATTGTAGCAATTATAATATCAAACGAACGTACTACAAAATACTAATTAATTATTTGTTTTAATTTGTTTGTGTTAAACTTCGTAAAAAGTCTTTTTTTTTTTTAATGAATTTTGAATAAATTACGAGATGTATAATTACTTATTGCGTATATATTTCCGCTGATTTTGTGTTTTTTTTAATTACTTTTAGAAATTGCATAAGTAAATGATGATTTAATTAAAAACTTAGTCACGTTTGATTACTCGTTCCCGATCGATCACTAAAGTCAAGCAACGTGGACAAAGGTTAGTAATAAGGATGGGTGACACCCGACTGGAAAAACGAAAGACAAAAATTGAGAAGTGATTTGAATCCGTAAAAGGGAAGATAAAAAAACAAGTAAATGGATTATTTTTTGTACTGTATGTATCTATTTGAAGGGACACACCTAGTGTGACCGCCTAAAAAAAAGGTGATTTTTGGAAATTTTTTTTAAGAAAACTACTGCATGAAATATTTTAAAATTTAGAGAATATATTTATACATAATTAACGAATATTCACTGAAATTTTTAAATGAAAAAAGGTAATTTTTCAGCGAGTTATTCGCTATCTTTCAAGTCACTAAAAAAACAAGCACCTAAAACGGCTGCAGTGATTCTGGCCTTCACCGTGGATGAAATAAAAAAAAAAATACTGTTAATCTATATGGTATTGCTTATACAATAACCAAAAATTGTGAAAAAATTGAAATTTAACAAAATAGCAGACTTTTACAAAAAAAATATTATGTTTATATATATATTATTTAACACAATTTTAAAACTTATTTTAATAAATCGCGATTAGGTTCTGAGCTCATGAAATGTTGAAGATGAAACATTTTGAGCTCACGCAGTTTCTTGAAGCGTTATTAACTCAACCCTATGTAAATGAGTAGCGATTTTTAATGAATGTGTGGGTCTATGATGATGATATTCTGCCGGTAATATATTGTAATTTATGCTGTATTGATATTAATATAGTTCTGGTATATAGAAAAGATAATAATTTAAAGATGTAAAAATCAACTGATATTTAATTAGGATTTATTTACATTAGATCTTGTCCAGCTCTGTAAATATGTTAATAATAATTAGGAAAATACAGATATTATATTAGATAATCCACACAATAATATGGATAAACGGATATCAAAACCTGTAATTAAATAATATTTATTACACCTCGTATTTAAGAAGACGAAAAAATTAAATTTAAGACTTTTTTTCTAAATTTACGAATTTATCAACTTTTCTAGACAGACCGTTATTTCATTGCGGACAAAAATCGATTAACACAGATTCGTTGTCGGTGAGGTCGACAAAAAGCTTCCACGATTAAAACAGTTGAGCATGCGTGTTCAGGTATAAAAAAACGTAGAACCTGTTTGCGTGTATATACTACTTTGTTACTTGGAAAGGTTCTCGGGAGTGGAAACAATGAGGCGGATAATGTAATGTCACGAATTTAATGCGTTATGATGTGTTGGTCTAAAGGTTTCAAAAAATTGTGGATTTTACAATTATATTTTAAACGTTAATAAAAAATTAATGATAATCTTTATCAATAATAAATATTCGACGAATCAAAACAAAAAATATTTGTTGTTGTTCTTTGATAAAAAACAAAATGTTATTATTATATATTTTTATAATTTTTGACGTAACAGAGAATTTATTTTAGTTATTTGTATTTAAATATAAAACAAACGCTTCATAATAGGAATTCATTTAAAATATGTTTTGCTTTATATTGAAGTTGATTACAATCATTTTGTTAGTAACAATTTTTAATTAAAACAAATTTATAAAAAGAAATACTAATTTCATATATTTTACAAGGTTTTTATTAACACGTGGACGGCTGCGTGTATTTCATTTGATTTGTCCCTGGTGCCTATATGAATTTTTTATTATGAGATGCATATTTTGTTAACATTTTTTTTACAGCAGATAAAAGGATATGTATAATTGTGTTTAGTGCATTACTTATAGTGGGGGTCACCGGTGATCGTCTAGGAGCTGTAGACCATTTTTGTTATTTTCAGTTGTTTCAAACTGTCCAAAAATGGTAGTAGATTATAATTTATAGAAATCTGTAGTTGATTTGTCTGATGAAATGACTGCTTATAGTTGACTACTGCAAAAAACTATAAAGTAGTACAGGAAATTGGATATAGAGTTTCTATTGATTACTTGTGTTGTAAATTAAATGGTGTTATTCATTCAAGTAACTCGAAAAATATTTTAATTCCCGATTTTAGGATGAAGTTAGCGATTTATTTAGTGAAATGTTTTGATGATGAAGATTGCATTTTATCAAGCAATTACGTACAGAAAAAGCGTCGTTATATGTCATGCATATTTTACTTGTAATCATTAAATTATTTTTGCATGTTCTTTATGTCATTATTTTCTTTAAACTCTTATAAAAACAATGGTATTATTTAAACATTTATCAGTATCGATATTTATTCTAATTATGTATTTTCACTATTTGTCATGTTGAGATTACCGGTGACCTACACGGTAATCAACGTGTTAATATTTACAGGAATTACCTCGATAGTGTTATTTTGGAAAACCGTAAAATTGCTTAATTAGAATAAGAGGTTGCGCGTTGGGTTGGCTGCATTTAATATGATATATTTAATTTAAGAAAGCATGAAAAGATAAATATTCCACTGTATATTGATATAAATTCTGTGATGTATGTGAAAAGGGAAAATATTTTTAAATTTTACTCGTCAATAATCGCTTACTTTTAATTAAACGTTAGCTAACTTACTTTAATGTTTTCTTCTCTGAAATTGCAAAAAAATATAAAAAAAAGATATTATTTAGCCACGTTGATTTATTCCATAAAGAATTAAGTTGCAAAATATTGATCATTTATCTACAATATAATATTATTTATTATTCGAATGGAGTAAAATTATTGTTATTCAGTGATATTTGGTCTGATTATTAATGTAATTTATTTTAAATATAAAAAACTAGGTATTTATTATATATATAGATTCTTTTGTAATTAAGTGAAAAATATATTCTAAAAGTCAAGTTCGTAGCTTCGACGTGTGAACAGTTCATTTATGGATAGAACCATTCATAATGTCCAGTTTCTCAAGTCACATCGTATCGTTCAAAAAGTTTATCTTACGTATTAAAAGAGATGAAGAAGAAAAGAAACGATCATAGTTTTAAAGTTCTTTTGTAGTGGTGTACATACGTCTTAAGTAGTTGAACTTTAATGAGATTAACTTTTAAACTTACGACAACAGAGTTTTAATGGCTTCGGTTCTTCTTAATGTTGTTATTGTTAAAGTTAACATCTTAAATAAATACTCTGTTATGCCACAGCATATAATAAAAGGAAATTAGCTTACCACATTTTATTAATTATTGCAAGTGTTATTTAAAAATATTGAATTAAGCAAACAGTATATTGAATCGTAATTATTAGCAAACAAAAAACGGAAATGATATAATGTTAAATTATTTCTACAGATTCATTTCATAAATGGTAATTAGTTATACGCTTTTTACTCGTAATTTTTTTTATTTCCTAATTAAATAAAAAATCAGTTACATGCAAATTACATTTGGAGCGTAAGATTTTTGTTCCATAGCAAGTAAAACATAATTCACGTAATGTCGTTCTCATTATTGAGATAAATGAGTCAAAAGTGAATTTTCATTTGAGCAAAATGCACATACGCGGTATTCATTTTACCCTCGTACATTGTAATATACTAAAATAATGAGGGGTCTACCTGTAGACAAAGTAATAAATAATGCTGTATGAGTGTTATATTAATTAAAAACTTTCGTTGGTTTCCACTTCCGAGCGATAATATGCTTTTTTCTTCTTCTATTCTCTCATATTTTCTTCGTTTAGAAAGAACTTCTCTGTATTTGCGCAAGTTGTATAAATTTCACTGTTATTAAATTATTGAATGAATATATATATATATATATATATATATATATATATA